AAGGTTGAAAACACAGAAAATATCCATCACGGTTGGTATCACATGTTGAATTGTCATCCTGGTTGTACATTCATTCGTCTTTGACATTATCACGACAATTCGCCAAGATGTCACTTGCCATATTCATGTGCTCTCTGCTTGGTAGCTGAATTTGGAACCCAAAGTTTGTAAAATGTAAGAGAAAGAAATTGTTCACGGAAATGAATCGTATTTAGAATGAAACTGAACCAAAGTATTCGACAAAAGAGCGCAGTTGTGTTTTTAATCCTGTTTGAAGTCGTAATTTCGAAATTACGAGATTAAAGTCGAAATTTCGAGATAAAAGTCGTAATTTTCAAGAAACAAATAATAAAATATGTGGCCCTTCTGCGCTTCCGTAAATATATAACCAAACGGCCTATTTTAGCTTTCATGTATTTATATTATTGTATATTATAAAACACAACCAATATCAGTCTGTAACAGCCACGACACAAGCCTAGCTTAGGTGACTACAGATTGTCTTATACATGCTTCTATGATAGGATTATTAATGACAATTTGAATTGTAAATTGCAGGGAAATCAAATCATGTAACTGACTGATTGAATGACATAAAATGAATGATATTACTTACTAAAATTACTTACTTACTAGAAAATTCAGCCCAGCACGTTTGTGTTGTTTACAATGATGTCTACTGTCAGGAATATACCTGTAAGTGCTTGTTTCCTTTCTCAATACATCGTATTCTAGCCTGCAACATTGGCTCCTAATTACCAACACGTCATGATATGGAAGTTGTCTCATACGTGGATTTCATTAATGGAAATCTTTTATTTAATAAGGAAACAAGGTCCTCAAAATTCGATTTTTTGTTATCGAATACCTCAACCATATAATCGGGAATTACCTTGACTTTTCTTTCGGTTCCATTTCGAATTTGCTCTTGAATAGGTTTTCTAGGTAAGGGGACAAGGGTATGTCATATTCTAGTATATGTTTGAGAGCTTGAAGAATAGCGAAGAGTTCCCCATTGTAAATGCTTCCGAACTTGTTGACTTTGAACTTGTGCGACGAGTTAGATGTTACAAAAGCTGCAGCAACTCCTTCTNCACCCGTCAACTTTTTTTTCCCTAAAGCGATCTAAAAAAAATTATTGCCATTTTTAAAAATATCCCTAGACTTTTCCGATGTGTGTACATAGGAATCCACACCGCGTTACCATCGCGACAGAGAGTATTGTGGTAGAGACAGCAGTAATTATGGATACTGAAAATTCGCTTCATTTCATTTCGTTTAAATTATTAAAAATGGTTGGCACCAGATTTTTTAAGGAAAATAACAGAAACAATCCTTATTCAGGCCAAGGCAGGCCGTGATTTTCATGACACAGAAAAGATGTTCAATACGAAATTTTTCGAATATCCGACCTGCCGAAAATATCTCAGGGAATTGGTTAAAAACTTTCAAACAACTGGAAATTTAACTAGAGCTAGAGGAGCTGGAAGAAAATCTATCTCGGGCTATCTCCTATACAGGGTATCAATTTGAAAACTTCCCTCCCTTAATATCTTCCTTCCAGTAAACAATATGAGGAATCGGAAAACAGTTTTATCGTCAAGGAGGACATTTTCAGGGACTATTTGTCGCAGTGTAGCCCTCATGGTTCAACCCCCTAGGAGTGATACATCATTTTGATTGGCGTTCAATTCTGCTTCCAATGATACCCTGACGTTTCATTTTTTGATGAGCAATTTCTGAATAATAAAGTTCTAGACACATGCAATTAGAAATTGTCTGTATTATGTATTATTGTATTGACTCCTTTCAATAAAAAAAGTTAGAAGAGTAGGTGGCACCGTTTTAACCCTTGAGTCACAGGAATAGATGTATTTGTTGGTTATTGTCCTTTTACAAAATAAAATCTAATTTGCGAGAAAGACATTTCAAACATGAAATCTACTTACGCTAATCTTATAAACTCTTCGAAATGTCGTTTATTTTGCTCTAAACAGTAACAGATGCTCCAAAGAAAGGAATCTAAGGGTGTTAAATCCGGTGACCTCGAAGGCCATTCATCTGCTCCCCTTCTGTCAATCCATCTATCCCTCGTTTAACCACTGTCGGATGGAGAGATAATAATGAGGTGAAGCACCATCCTGTTGGAAATGTAACAGATATCCTCCTGCAGAAGTTCATTATCTTCTGCATCTATTTGGGTTTCTAGCTCGTGAGGATCGTGAGGAAGAGGATCGATAGTCTCTTCAAGCATTTCGAAGTACAGTTTTCTTCTAGAACTAATGGACCAATAATATTTCCAAGAATACCATCCCAAACAATAACTTTTTGTGTGTGTGTGTTGTGTATTCCCAAAAATATGTGGGTTTTTGTTACTTCAATAGAGACAATTTCGTGTATTAACATTGTCATAAAATTAACACTCATCGTCAAAACAGATGTTTGAGAGAAGATTAGAGATGGTATAGATTCAATGAAACATGATTTCACAAAACTCTATTCTTCAATCATTATCATCCTCGTGGAGCTCTTGAAGAATTTGCATTTCAAAAGGATGAAATTCATGCATTTTCAATGCTCTTCTTACAGTCTCGCGTGTCATTTCCGTCTGTACTGATCGTACGAAGCTCGTGGTCTCTGCAGCAAATGTTCCCAAAACTTCAATTTGAGCTGCTTCATTCAGTACTCTGGGGTTATTTCTTTTTTTATTTGTCACTGAACTAGTTTCGTAAAACTTATTCACCAAATCAAGCACATACCGATGACTCACACCACAATTTGGAAGTCTTTTGGTAAAAAGACATGCCGCCCTTCGTGCGCACTTTCCAACTCCTTTATAAATTATAATCATTTCATTCCTGTCTTGAAGAATAATTTTACACTCTCATACAATTATTGAAGTAATCACTAAACAGTCCAACAGGTACAACTGTATGCACAATACACATCGTTCAAATTTGCGAACCAACTTTTTGTCTCAAAACAGAAACTTTTCACAGCAGAAATAACAGGAAAGGACGGCTATCTGTACACTTTCTGCCATGAGAATTGAAAATTCAGCATTTACTAAACGCAAATTTACTACCGTCTACATTTCACTATTAGACTACTTTTTGATGTGAATTCATTAGAGCTTATGGCTAATGTTACCCCTAATAAATAAAGGGTTAGATTGTACCACCTAATACCTTTACCAGTTCTGGTCAAACTATGAATCTCAGTATAGGTGCACTAATAATTACTTCTGTTAGTTTAGAACGCTATTTTTCGGAAAATTCCCATATCATAGGGTAACAGAAGAAAGCAGAATTGAACGCCAATCACAATGATGTGCCACTTAACCCCCCTTTCCATTTAAAATTGTAATGGTAACATCTACCCCTCCTACGGGGTTGAACCACGAGGTCTACGAATACTCTTCGAAAGTGTCTCCCTTGACAATAAAACTGACCTGTTTTTTCGATTCATCATATTGTTTCTGGAAGGAAAATATCAAGGATGGAAGTTTTCAAACTGACACCCTGTATATTATCCAACCGTAAAATGACATATAATACATGCATTGAAAATTAGTAGAATGAACTAGCGATATTTAAGTAAAAAAAACTATTAAAAATATAACTTCGCGATGCTGTACCTACAGAACAGAATACAAATGCGTTAACAACTTATTATATATCCTTCGCGACAAATACATAGGGTTTTCCATCTGGAAAATAATATCAAACGAGTTTGAAATTAGAAAAACTTTAAAGAACTATAGCCGGACACCCTTCATTCGAGCTGATAGGTATAATATGTCAAATGAGGTTATATTACCAGTGTCTTGTCCTAGATACAAAAATTATGAACTTACCGAAGCTATGTGCTACTTTGCATATTTTTGTCTTCTGTGAGCATCTCTGATAGTCCCAGTATGACGCAAACCCTACATACATCAAGTATAATATGATAAATATCCTGAAATTGAAAAAAAAAGTTATTGGAAGACCGAATCTCTTCAATTTCACTCTTTCTTTGAGCTCAGAGTGAATATTATTGGGTTGTTCCAAAAGTTTTGTCCGTTTTCACTTCAAGCTATAATATCTCAGACACTCATGAAATTAGAACGAAATGAGCATCATTTGAATCAGTGCAATTTTCCCAACTTAACACGAATCGATTCATTCCGTCAGTTCAAAAATGTGGAGCTCGGGATCGATGAAGTCGACGAAGATCGTTTTTGACTGGTTCTGATCGGCAAAGGTTCTACCGGTGAGGAAGTTATCCAAATGGTTGAAAATATACTAGTCGGTTGGCGGGAGCTCTGGGAAGTGTGTTGGGTGAGGCAGAACTTCATGACGTTCAATTCATTTAATTTTAAATTTCGTGAATTTCCTCACAATAGGCCAGGTTTTTCCGATGAGGAAGTTATCCAAGTGCTTGAAAAAGAGTAGTTGGTTGGCGAGAGGTGCAGCAGAGGTTGCGCAGTAAGCGCCTCTTACCATAGGCTCAGCCTCAATTGACCCATTCCTACTTCGAGGTTTACACCAGCCGTGCGCAATCGTAACATGGACATTAAGGCAACCTTCTTAATGTACACGTCCAGAGGGGTCAGACCTGTAATTAATACTATTGCCGCGGTTGGTGTTGTTCTCATGGCTCTTGTGATGTTTAAACAAGCCAGTCGCTGTATTTGATATAATTTTTGGATGGCCGTTGTTTGAAAGACCCCATGCTCGTCCCACTGTACTCCGACATTGCTCATAAGCCACATATGCTCTTTTTGCTCTACTCTGTAGGTGAGAGTTCCGTGTAAGCTTTCTGTCCAGGATAGTACCAAGGTAATTCACCTCTTCAGAGAAGTTTAGTTTGCTTTTGGAGATTTCGGGGGGTTTTAAGCCCTATAAACTTCTTTTCCTGGTGAAAAGGACCATCTCAGTCTTCTTGGGATTGATCGACATTCAGTGTTCCTTACACCATGTTTCTATTAATTTGAGCCCATCCTGCTCTCTATCACACAGTGTGTTCATAAATTTTCCGGTCTGCAAGATAACTATGTAATCTGCATATACAATTGTGTAGAATCCATTATTGTTGAGGTGATTAATCAGGGTATTCAGAACTATGTTCCAGAGAAGGGGTGATAAGACCCTTCGCTGTGGACATCCCTTCATGACCAGTCCTCTCACTGTGATGTCTTCTACATTGATACTTATTGCTCACTAGAGAGCATCTTGAGTATCCATTCTCCTACTACCAGGGGTACATTCCTGAAGTGTAGTTGCTGGGTAATTGTTGGAAAGGTTGGTTTATCATTCTACCTAAGCTAAGACAAAAAGAAAGTGCTACATATTTATTATGATGCTGGAGAAGACGTCTTTTACTGAAACTCATTCTGGTCCCATAATGATGAACATATATAGGGCAGGGCAGTTTATAATTAGAGTTGGCTTTCGAATGGAATGAGTCTGAATTTTTTTCGTAAAACAGAAAGTTCTGAATTTCTTTCGGTAATAGGTTAATCACTTGACATATATTATAACTAAAAGATTGCTTGAAAAATTCGATGTAGTAGAATAATTATTTATCAAGATATGAAGCTACCAAAACACATGACATCAAAACTGACAAAACTTTAAAACAGCCAATATTATCATTAAAAAATTATTTCGATTCATACTTACATCCAAATGTAATCGCCGGTTTTTGCTCTATAAACATTATCGTGATTGGAACAATTGAAGTAAGTTATAGTCGCCGTCAATCCCATTCGGGCATACTTTTGACTATAACAGTTTGACATTTCTTCTTGGAAATTGCTGTTTCTGTCTAAATTGCTTCCTGGACAAAAATCGTCTACACATATTGCGTGAAAGAGTTCGTTATGGTTGTATGTTCTTCTGTTTTTGATAGATTCCTGGACAATTGAAATATTTATTTTTGACTGTACTTTGATTATATCTGGTAAAGATATTCTGACTTTCTCTATGATTGGAATGTTTATTATACTGTGTGTGCGATTTCAAACCGCAACACCCTGTTATTTTGGAACCCATGAATCAATTTTCAAAAATAAGAATTTCAAATTATAGTACTCGACGAGCTCTATTTAAAGATGTTGATAGATATGAATTTTTTTTTCATTTTCAAGGCCTACTATGACCTACTCAATGAGTCAAAATTTCGAGAAGTTCGATTAGGCATTTTTTAATCGAAAATGTGGGAAGCCCCTTCGATTCGGTCATATTTCTAACAACTACTATCTCCTACAGTGCGTTAGTTATATAATGGCAGTTGAGAATGTTTTATCCATATCGTTTGACTTTTTGGTATAATAAATAGTCAATCAACGATTGTGAAAATAGCCTATATGCTTTTTTAAAACATTTGTTCCAACCCAGTGACTGATTTTGGCAAAATTCTCATGATTTCATTTCATACGGCATATTCATATAATTAGATCAATACGCCAGAGACTGTTTTTCATAACAGGCTTCGATATTAAGTTCTCTAATTTTTCGTTGTTATAATTTTGACAGTTGAGTATTCTCAAACGCTTTCCATGAGTATTTGGTGAAGACAGTTATAAAAGGGTTTTGCAAGTTTTTAAAATGGTAAATCTCAACTTAGTCGAGAGAATTGAGATGTGCGGTTAGTTGGTGATAATGGTCGCGGAAGAATTCAACAGAAGACATCTAGATCTTGAACCAATTCACCATACAACCGTCTCCAGGACCAATACGTTATTCAATAGAACAGGGAGAGTAAATGTACCAAGACGGACAAGAAAACCAAAAAAATAGCTTGCGGCAGATTTCACGAGATTCACACGTTAGTATATCTAAAATAAGTACATGTTTGAAAAAAAAGGTATTTGCTTCAAACCAAAAATCATGCACTCGTTAGAAAGAGGCGATGAGAATTCATAGACTTTCATACAGGGTCAGTCAAAAAATCAAGGGTTTGAAAATTTGTTTTCATATAACTAACACTCTTTAGGAGATATTGGGCTCAAACTTGGAATCCATATGTTCGAAATATGCCCAAATCGAATAGAGTATCCACTTCTTCGATAAAAAAATGCCTAATGGTCCTTTTAGAAATTTCGATCCATTTTGCAGGTCATAGTAAGCCTTGAAAATGAAAATAATTCATATATGTCAACATATTTGAATAGAGTACCATAATTTGAAATTGTCGGGAAATCAAGTTTTTGGCTTTCTACTACTCCATCTTGATACAAAAAACAAGGATGAGGGAATCTTCCAAGGAAAGGAAGGAAGTAATCAATTTTAAAAGTAACTCTATACATGGATGTATAGATCATGCACTCCTAAAAATATAACCCCTTCAATTCAAATTAAAATTGTCATTTTTGAAAATCGGTAAATGGGTTACAAAATAACAGGGTGTTGAAGTTTGAAATCGCACACACTGTATAAACGAACATAATCAATTTGTAACGAAAATAATATTCTAAATGTTCGAGAAGTATTTCCATAGCTATCTATATATTGAAGTTATTGTCATGTCTTGTCCCGAGTTTTGTCTACGAAATTGTAGTTTGTGTCGCCTCTTGTCGAGACACGACAAGAAAATGCCTCGTAGAGCCTAAAGTACCTGCAACACTGATTGCCGGAACTGAGAACATAGTGAATAGACCGCTCACTTACATATCAACAACGTATCTCATGATCTACAGAGTATTACACCAAACCATTTCCTTATTGGAAATCTTTGGTGATTTGGCTGAGCCAAATCACCAAAGATTTTTGACGAGAAAATTGATTTGAGAAAGCAATGAAAGCTCGCTGACAATTTTTGAAAGCGTTGGGTTCGAGAATACCTACCCACTTTAACGAAAAGAACAAAATGGTTGAGAAAAGGCAATACATTCGAACCAGGAGATCTTGTAATAGTAATCGATAATAGACAAACGAGGAATAACTGACCCCTTGGAAAAAATAATCAAGTTGTGTTTGTCGGTATCCAATTACAATGTTTTGCAAATTGTCACTACTAGAAGAAACCCATGATATTGCACCCATGATGTTGCACCCATAATGTTGCACCCATGATGATGCACATGATGTTGTACACTCTTGAGGAAATAGACTGTTCAGTTTTGTTCAGATTCACCTAGTATTAAAGTGGTCAAATTATTATTATAAACCGTACTTGGCTAGCTATCTTGAAGCAAAATTTGGATAGTGGCGAATTGAATGTTTCAGTTGTCAACCAACAATATTAACATGATTTCATATTTCAAAACTCCTTTGACATCTGTCAAAGAAGTAAAGAAATTAATGATCAGAAAGGAATAACTGTCAATATCTTAGAATGGCGATGCATTGAATTTACTGGAGCCTCTGGAGACACCCTACATTTTGTTTTATAAGAGAGAGGGCATTGTTAGATCAAGATCTTCAGATGATGTGGTGCTGCAGGTTTTTCCGGGTTTTCCTGCAACTGAAAGAGCAAATGCGCCACTGGAATCAGTGAAGTCGCCCTGGAGCGCCAATTAATTTTTATTGTTGTTTTTATTTTATTTTTATCGTTGTTTTAATAAAATTTTATCTTGGAATACTATTTGTTCATTTCTGAAGACGGAGACAGATTTTGGCCTCAGAAACGTTAAGGTAAGTATTGTATTATTTCTTAGCAATTTTCTTCGATAGGCAAACTTGTTAAATACGACAAGTTACTGATGAATAAAAGATTTTCTTTGTTAAAAATACTTTGATTTTACGCAGTAACTCATCAGGATAAACTAAAAAGTTTGCCCTTCTGAACTTGTATAAAGTTCTCCATTATAATTTTTATATTTTTTAGATTGTAGAAGAAAACAAATACCCAAAAAAGGTCGATAAAAAACTGATTTTCCTCCACAAAAAACGACTCTCGTTGAACAGAAAACTACATCTTCAATACATACCCAAAACGAAAAGTCTATTGAAATGAGGTTTCATAAAAAATATGGACGTTTGACGTTAATTCAGGCATAACTTCCCAACTTCTTGGTATCTACATTCGCATACAATCCTTCATTTCTTTCCTAACTTTCCTAAAGGAATCCAACTATGGAAGTCAATATATCGCATTCTATTCAAAAAACCTAATTTTGATACACCACACTTCTACTAGACACTCGATATATTGAAAAATATTCCGGAAAGCGCATTGCATTGACATCCGAAACATTCGATTTTTTTTTTATAATTCCACTGCTAATAGAAACCTAACACCGAAAACCTTACACTGAAGTCTTTGTTGTTTCGATACGATTAGTGTCTATATTAGTCATCTAAATAACCTGTGAGTATTCCAGTGGTTGTGAAAGTTTGAAGTATTTAGACTGTGGAACCAAAAGTTAATCACCAAACGGTGAACATTACATAATTTCGAGCACATAAGGCGCTCTTGAAACATTTCAAATTCAAGAGGGGAAACAAACCATGAAGAAACAACAGATGAAAAATGAAAACTTACAATAAGTTTCCGTTGAGTATCGGGAATAAAAATAAAACTGCTCTTGGCGAGCTGTGCAATGAAAATAAAATGAATTTATATACTGTTGCTTTTCTCCCTACTTCGTTTGTCCTCTCTTGTCAAGAAAGGATTCTCTTGTCTTGTCTCGACCAAGATGGCCCATTCTCTTATCTTGTCGACAGACGATTTCTCAAGAGAATAATCAAACACAAGAATCATCTCTCATCCTCATTGAGGAAGCTCCCTTCATAAGCTCTGAAGAAAACTCAAACTATGTATATTAATCATTTACGAGGCTCTCAAAGGTGATCCATTTCAAAGACATGCTTTGTTATTGACTGCCGAATAAAATAAGTCTTTTTTCTGCAGAGATGATATTCGCATACTCAGTCTTGTTTTTCATGGACAATTGATAAAACGTGGTTCAACGTAGCAATACCTATGGCAGGTCGAAACAGATATGTTTGAAAATTTATGAAATTTCATGACTTATTCAGGCAACACTTTATTGTGAGATCTTCATAAGACAGTTTACAAAATCGCAACACGTATTTTGCTATACGACAACTTCATCGAGCGTTATCCTACTCTATTGTCCTTGTGAAACACGTGTTGTGATTTTGTAAACCGTCTTGTCAAAATCTCGTAATGAAATGTTTCTTGAATGAGTTATATCGAGATCACTATTTCGTGAAACTGCTATAGAATAATTCCTTCCGGCTGAAGAAAACATGAGCAAAACATTAATCATCATAATGTATATTATCTCCTTTGTTGAAAAAATGGTTTCCGGAAAAGAGGTGATGGCATTATCAAATATTCAAACCCATCTCAAAATTACTGGAGTTTTATCCCAACACTAAACCGTTATTTTTAACACCTCGACACGTGTTTCGATCACCAAGTGATCATCTTCAAGAGGAAATTTGGACGGAGTATAGTTACAATGTTATTTCTATTTATACCATAGATACCCCCGCTAAGTACCTGCGTCGCTAAGTACCTGCAAGCAAATCTGATGATTAAAATATCATTTCAATAAGCTATATAGTATAATATTGGGTATTTGTCCACCATCTTTATTCATAATATTATTATGTTTACTTATTTCTATACTTTCATAGGCTTATAGATGCGTGTGGTTGTTAACTTGTCTAACTAATCTTAATGAACTAAAGTCTATGGAATGGTTTTGTTGCAAAATATGAAGGGCGACTGCTGATTTTTCTGATATTCCATATTTTAAGTGTACTAAATGTTCCTTATATCTTATTTTAGTAGATATTCAAGTTTATCCACAATATTTTGCATCGCAATCCTTACATTTAATTTCGTAAATTCTAGACTTTTCCAAATTCTCGACTTTGTTCTTTGGATTTCCCGAAAGGCTCTGTAGTGTATGACTTGTTTTGAATGTCACTTTCATACCTAGTTTCTTGAAAATCTTACCAAAGTTCTTAGTGTATTGGTAATATGAAAGTGAGATAAATTTATCTTGGTTTTCGTCGTTTCTAAAAGTCGAGATTTCGTTAATTCTTGACCTGAACTTTTCCTTCCTCAAAATATTATCTGCAACACCGCTCGAGAAACCGTTACTGGCTGCTATTTCCTGTCCGTTTTACCATTTTTCTTTTGTTAACCTCTCATGTATGAGAGGAAAAGCAATTACAATACCACGCTGTAGATTGAGTCATGTCCAGAAATTTGTAACTTATTTTGGCCCGAAATTATACAATAAGCTACGGAAGCGCATAAAGGTCACATATTTTTATTATTTGTTTCTTGGAAATTACGACTTTGAATCTCGAAATTTCGACTTTCATCTCGAAATTTCAATTTTAATCTCAAAATTTCGACTTTTATCTCGAAATTTCGACTTTTCACTGAATGAGAAATTTGCGAACTGAAGCAAATTGTTCATAGTGAAGCGTTGGCATTTTCTTCAAAACCAACACGCAGTGAATTTGAATCGATCGATTTAAGGCGTCATCGTCACTGTCAATCGCTTTCACACTTGTAGAAAACAATATTTATTGCTTACTAGCCATTTATCACCATTGTAGGAAATCTGAAAATCTTTCATAAGATAATGTATCGATTAGCGAGTGTAAAAACATCTCAATAACCTCAGAATTGAGTATCAGAAATCCCTCTGAAAAATCTGATATGTTGACGTTGAATGGTTCTATATCAGAATTCAGGAGAGCGAATAATGATAAAATATCTGGGCTTNGAATCCGTAATGACTGAAGAATTTTGTATGTCATATTCTAGTATATGTTTGAGAGCTTGAAGAATAGCGAAGAGTTCCCCATTGTAAATGCTTCCGAACTTGTTGACTTTGAACTTGTGCGACGAGTTAGATGTTACAAAAGCTGCAGCAACTCCTTCTTCTGACCTTGATGCATCGGTGTAAATTTGAGTGTACATTGGGATATTCGATAAGAGAGCTTGGAAATGGCATTGTATTAGCTGCGGTGGAGTAACTGATTTGTCAAAACTAGTTAGGTTGAGATTGCATATTGGAGATTTGATCGTCCAGGGAGGAATGGCTAGAACCTTCTTATGGGTTGAAAAGGAATAGTTTGGGGAAAGTTTGGAGATATATAAATTGATTCTCTGGTAAAAAGGATGTGTGATGCGTGATCTCCTGGCATGAAGATTATTGAATCTCTTGGAGAATACATTGTTGTAAGCGGGGTGATTATGGTTTCCAGATATCCTTGCGGCATATGATGAGCTCAAGTACTCTCTTCGCAGGTATAATGAGGGTTCGCCTGACTCGCAGTACAGGCTTTCCGTGGGGATAGTTCTGTAGGCCCCTAAAGCTGTCCTTATTGCCGTGTTGTGAATCGAGTCCATCATCTTCAATGTGGATCTAGTTGCGCTGTCGTTCATAAAAGTAACCTTCTACCTGGAAACGTTTTTTTTTTCATACACAAATTAGTGAGAGGAACGAAATAATCAATTTCATTAGAATTGAAATATTATTTTTATCTAGTAATTCCCTGAGTTATTGTGGGGTCTGTGGAATTGGGACGCTAGTAAATAAAGAACTAACATCAAAGGAAACCATAATCTCACCTTCTTTCAGAACCATATTTCTTGTATACTGTATGAACTCTAAGGAGTTTTTGATACTAAAATTATCAGATTTACCTGACTCTTACATAAAGCCACATTGTGAAATTAATTTGAGACAATTAAGACGCAGGTCTTGCTATAAATAGGGATAACATTGTATGTATATTTAGTTCAATCTCCCTATTGAAGATGATCACTAGTTGATTGAAACACGTGTCGAAGTGTTAAAATAACGGTTTGGTGTTGGGATAAAACTCTAGTAATATTCATTACTACACCAAAGGTTCCAAACAGTGCATCACAAGTACATCTGAAAAAGTTAACTAGCTTTCTTAAAAGTGGAGACTTCAACCTGATACTGAGACGAAGAGACAAACTTGTTTTTCTTAAAATCAGTTGCCATCAGAAACACACCCATTCCAAAATACTGACCTCAATCAATTTCCAATGGGTAGATGCATTCGTTCCGTTTGGTTTGAGAACAATGGACAGTCGGCAAAACAATTTTCCTGTTCTCTTACATTCTTCGTAGTCATCGATGTGAAAGATTGGCGGCAAACCATATAATGCATCACCTGAAATAATAATTAGTGAAATGATTCAAAGAAATTGTCTATGTGCATAACTTCTTCTATATTCTTTTGTGAAATCACATGCTTGATCAAATTGAACACATTCATTCAACACATTCAGTAAACAAATCTAAAGAAATGAACTTTGAACGTTCAAGCCAGTCTCGGATATACCTACACAGTAGGTTGAATGGACTGATGCCTATCAGAAAACAACTACTCCCCTAGCTAATACAACGAAGGGCGTTGGATGATATCCGACAGGCGTCAGTGCAAGAATCTTCACAGAAAATTTCTTGCACATGCAATTGGCAATACAAAACAAAGCTTATGATATAATGTAGGTTTTGGGAACTGGATTGTAGATTCAGACTATTATTTAGATCAAGTTGTTCGTTGAGGACAATAGAATTGGGATTTTTCTTTGACTTGTTCATTTCCATAGATTCCAACAGATTCANTCACAACATCTAGTGGACGGGGTACTAACCAACTGCATATCCGAAATTTGCTCGATTCTTCTGAATGTGGAAAAAAACTTTCTCATCAGTCAGTGCTATGCCAGTCTCGCAGTAGGTTGAATAGACTGACGCCTATCAGAAAACAACTACTTTCCTGGCTAATATCACGAAGGGCTCTTTCAGTTATACTGCCAATTACATATTCTGTGAAGATTTCTGCACTGAGGCCTGTCGGATATAATCCAACGCCCTTCGTGGTAGTAGCCAGGGGAGTAGTTGTTTTCTGATAGGCGTCAGTCCATTCAACCTACTGTGTAGGTATATCCGAGACTGGCTTGAACGTTTAAAGTTAATTTCTTTAGATTCATTCATTCAATAACTAAAAATACAAATCAATTCTCTGAACGATTTACAATTCTTCACTTGTTGATATCGTTTCTAACCTCGTTGTTTGTTTTATTCTCGGAACCAGCCTTCAAACTGATCTTCGATATAATATTTTACTAATTTTCGATCTAATATGGCTCTGCAACTCATTGCCATGTAATGATGGTCAGAATACTAAAGTGTGCTTCACCTGCCACAACGAGACCTACGCCACTGAAACAGCGACCCAACGACGTGTCATTTTCCTAGGAGCCTCATTAACTAGATTTTGGTTCTCTCGAAGAACTCATGTTAGAACCACTCACGAATATCTTGGGTATAGTTTACCCAATAGCATCCCTGTCTAACTTGTTTCATGGTTTATTGATGCTGAAGTGTTCTTCTGCTCAACTCCTAAGGAGTTGTTCCAGCATATATATCCATGATAAATCTGACGTATACGCCAGTACTTCCCAACAACTGATCCATGATTACATGATTAAATACTCGCTGCCAGCGAGATCAAACTCTGCCGTTGAGTCAGCTTCAGGACATGACCTCAGATCTAATATATGATCCATAGGTCAGAACCTATACTTTATAGGTTCTCACAGCGTTTGTGAATTTGTTTTTTTTTCTATCTATCCCCTTTCAAACTCCATTTTCAACCCTATCGATCTCATAACTCTGTTCTATACATTTGCCTATTTAATTTTTTCTTCAGGTTGCTCTTTCTCAACTTTTGTAGAGGAAGAGCAACCTGACGTGAGGCATTTGTTATTTCCAACAAATGCCTACAACTAGTCTTCCTGGTTTTAACAACAGCTCTCTTTTGTAAATCCCGTGTTCTTATTTCCCTCAAATCTGAGGATGATTTCGACCTTATGAAATGCATTTATTTTCAGTTCGTGCAAGAACAGTTTTTACAGCTTCGAATTCTATTGCTGCTATATGTATTTGAATGTACTTTTTTGATTGACGACTTGTTTATTTTGTGGAAATTCATGTTCACTGAGGATACACTACAAAAACACACTTTTGTCTATTTTCCACGATATTTTTTTATTGTAGACTAGTTTCGGCTATTACACCATTTTCAAAACTAACTGATTACATTTAAATCAGAGTAATTTATACCTAAGTTGCCTATCCTATCATAAATAATTTGGTACCTACATTTTGTATACCTGTAATATCCATGAACATAACAAAACAAAGCTTTTGATATAATGTAGGTTTTGGGAACTGGATTGTAGATTCAGACTATTAATTAGATCAAGTTGTTCGTTGAGGACAATAGAATTGGGATTTTTCTTTGACTTGTTCATTTCCATAGATTCCAACGGATTCGCAAATGTGAAGGATCTTTAAATTATCTTTATCTACTTTATGTTTCTTCAAAATTCGAAACATAAAATAGATAAAGATAATTTAAAGATCCTTCACACATACGAAAAAGAGAAAATGTTGAATCTTCAAAATTCGAAACATAAAATAAAGATAATTTAAAGATCCTTCACACATGCGAAAAAGGGAAAATGATGAATCTTCAAAATTCGAAACATAAAATAAAGATAATTTAAAGATCCTTCACACATGCGAGAAAGGGAAAATAATGAATCTGTTTCTTCAAAATTCGAAATTGTAGAAGCTCTGCATTTGCAGAACTTCTACAAAATTTTGATAATCATTTCGGTTACTCTATGAAATGTTTTCCAGTGCCTGGCGTCACAATGTTATCAGTAGTGCAGTGTTTTTTTTCTCTTCTTTCTTCGGTTGGTAATGACAGCCGTTGTTACTGCTATTACTTTTATTTCAAATCCCAAATTGCAATCCTACTGAAAACTGAATATTTCAGGGTTTCACCATCTTCTGGTGATGTATGGAGTTTAGAACGTGGAGGTTAGAACAAGTGGAGTTTAGAACTAGAACTAGTGAAGTTGAGAAGTGGAGGTTGGAGCTAGAACTCGCACTAGTTTAGAACTCGTCGAAAAAATTATTGAAAAAAATTTAATATTCATTCTCAGCTTTGTTAATTGATTGACGTTTCAGAAAATAATTTTTCCGTTTTTAAAACTTGAAATTCACTTCAAAACTTTCGCCTTGAATTGGGAATAGCTTTAATTCGTTTCACATACGTCAGCAGATTCTCTATAGATTTAGCTTTGTTTATTTGACAGATTGTGGGAGGTTATATACCAAAAAACAGTGAGAATTATTGGGTCCTTCATAAAAAAATGTCAGAGAAAACTGTACATACTTATTTTTTATATGTTCACTACTCTAATAATCAGAAATAAATTATTAGTGTCTCGTATCTTTATGAGGATTGCGAGCATATCTGAATGTGCACTACAATAGTTTTCTGTATTCATGCGTAGTACGTGATTATGATTTTTATGACATGTATTATAAAAACAAATGGTTAGAAAGTAATGTTATCGAGTTCAAATCGGTAAATATCCAAGAAAATTGATTATGGAATGCCAATTGTTCAGTTTAATTCGCTTTTTTACCACTGCTCAAAAACTATGTTTATCGACAGATACCCTAAAAATTCACCTTGGCAGAAACCACTTGAAAAATTACAGGTTATACCTTCGTTATACCATACGTTACTACAGTACCTTTTCCAACGAAATGAATCAATAATGTCTCACAGATTCCATTACGATTAATATAATCTGATATGTTTTTTGACACGATTACTTCAACCGTAGAAAAATGGTGCAACAATGGTGAACAAAAATCTATGGGTTTCTGTATCAATGCAGAACTTTTGAAAAACTAGATCTGCCTCAACAATATGACTAAAAATATTGTAATTATTGAATGCCCCCGATATACCTTTTGACAGAGGCGGCGTAAGGCGGTGTGGGCTACTGCCCACGGCCTCGCGGAGCAAAGGGCCTCGCGTCTCAAAAATGAAAACAATCTTAGGAAAGTATGGAAAATCCTAAAGTACACGCTGTGATTTTTTTATAAATACGTTTTACATTAGAAAATTCTCAACTGAAAGATATTTCACTCTTTGAATGCATATCAATGAAAAATTCGTGAATATATTTCTTTTTCTGATAAACTAAATGTTATTATAGAATAACGTAACCAAAAAATTCCCATCTTTGTCGTTTCTGATCATTCGTTTTTATTCAATCTAGCAACATTACTTGGCGTTAAGCTGCTATCGTGAGGAATCCCCGGTCAGACACCTCGGAACTTCCCCTTAATGAAAAGCCAATCAAAGTATCTCATGCAGACGCAGTCTCGCTTCATGTTCCTATTTTTTTATTTCCAAAAGTTTTCGATGTGAAAATGAATAATAGTGTTACATAGTTTTAAAACGATAATGCGTGTTCAATAAGTATACATTTTTATTGTGTCTTGAAGAAAAACTATTACAACCGTTTTTAAAGTTGTTTTATTCTACATTTTCCTTTACAAAACACTATATGAATAAAAATTATGTCTATTATTTGTTTCATATCTTCGATTAGTTTCGCTAGAATTCACCAAAAACTCCGCCAGCAGCAGGCGGCACTAGTTTATCGAAGAGACTCGAACCTGCTCCACGACAACGCCCGTTCGCATGTTTCACAAATCACCTTTCAAGCAATCAACGAATTGAGCGTCAAAGTTCTGACTCACCTATGATACTCCCCCGATCCCTCTCGATCAGACCATCATCTTTCCAAACACTCCAATAATTTTTGCCAATCAGGACCAGGACAAAATAACTATAGACCATTCGCTTTACTATCAGTGATATCAAAAATTTTAGAGTCGTAAACCACCATATCCTCAAATCCTTCAACATCTTGAGCGATCATCAATATGGCTTTCGGAAACAAAGATTAACAGTCGACCTTCTATCGTATGTCACCCAAATTTGGAAAGACGCAATCGAAAAACTTGGAGAATCAAGAGCTGGTATGTTTGATATTTCTAAGGCATTTGACCGTATGTGGATGGCGGTTTGCTGGCTCTCCAGCTTTCTAAAAAAACGTTCCATGCAAGTGGCCGTCGATGGATATCTCTCGAATACTTTCATCATCAACGCTGGTGTTCCCCAGGGTTTCATATTATCTCCAACCCTCTTTTTATTGTACATCAACGACTCATTGGAAAAAACCTAAAATCCAATATATAGCTTTGCTGACAACAGCACACTTATCTCGTCATTCCATTTAGGTTCCAGGACATCGGCTACGGAGGAACATCTTCACCGGCAGCAGGAAGTAGCATATCGTAATGAGGATCTAGAAGTGATTTCGAATAGGAGTGAAAGTAACAAGGTTCAATCCAATACAACAAAAACCCAGGTATCGGTTTTCTCCAAGAAGATGAATATCTCCGAACCGGCTATAATAATGTCAGGTCAGACAATTCCGCTTTCTGCTTAGATAAGTTTGTTGGGAGTTAAAAATGGACACCAATATGTCTTGGCACGATCATGTCGCTGAAGTTGCAAAGGCTGCTTCTCAAAAGCTTGGAACACTGTTCCGAACCAGAAAACTGTACACACCTCAGAAACTTTTGCTGCTTTATAAAGCTCAGATCAGACCTTCTTTGGAGTATTGTTCTCATATATAGAGCTCTTCTCTAGAATATACCCTAAAGTTGCTGGACCATCCAGAAAAGAGCCATCCGCCTGATTGGACACGCGAACATCACGTGCAACCTTGATAGCCTAGAACATCGAAGAAGGATTGGAGATTTGTCTCTCTTCTTAGATACTTTCACGGGGAGTGTTTTGGTGACTTAGCACATTTGATTCCACCAAGAGCGGTACATATCAGAAATACGCAACGGACTGTGGCTGCTCATCGTTTTGAGGTTCAACTCAGTACACCTCGAACTTCACTGTTTGAGAGCTGTTTCATCTGGAGAACTGCGTTTATGTGTAATAAACTTCTTGAGAACGTTTTTCCAAATGAACTTAATCTTCAGCGGTTACTTCGATTGAATTGAGAATGAATATCCTCTGAGATGTTACAGTTTTGAGTAGACTAATAAAAATGGATCAAACTTTTGAAACAACCTAATACAATGATGTATATCATCACAAAATTATGTATTTTTTCTCATCATATAGAAATAGATACATCAAAATGATTATAGTCTATGCATTCCTAATTGGAACGGCAATAAAAATAAGAGTACAGTCATAAACATTTCTTGCCTGTGGTCCCTAGTCGCCCAGATAGTTAGTGAACGTGCTATCGAATGTAGTTGAGGAGTAAAGGCTTGGCTAGCTGGACTGGCTGAATACTAATTTTTTGTCCGTTTCACAATATTTCTTTATCAGTGCCGTGTGTTCGTGGGGTTGAGTGAGGTAGTGAGTGGTTTTGCAAACC